AACACACACACACTAAACACTAAAAACAAACAAACAAACAAACAAACAAACAAACAAGGGTGTTAGATAGTTCATGTGCTGGCTAGTTTCATGTCAACTTGACACAAGCTAGAGACATCTATAAGGAGTGAACTTCAACTGAGAAAACACCTCCATAAGATCTGACTGTAGGGCATTATTTTAATTAGTGATTGGTGGGGAAGGGCCCAGCCCATTGTGGGTGGTGCCATCCCTGGGCTGGTGGTCTTGGATTCTATAAGAAAGAAGGCTGAGCAAGCCATGGGAAGCAAGCCAGTAAGCAGCACCCCTCCATGGCCTCTGCATCAGCTGTGGCCTCCAGGTTCCAGCTTGAGTTATTGTCTGATTTCCTTTCTTGACAAACTGTGATGTGGAAGTATAAGCCAAATAAATGTTTTCCTCCCCAGCTTACTTTTTTTTTTTTTAAAGATTTCTTTATTATTTATAAAGTATTCTGCCTGCATGCCAGAAGAGGGCATATCTCATTATAGATGGTTATGAGCCACCATGCGGTTTCTGGGTATTGAACTCAGAGTCTTATGGAAGAACAGTCAGTACTTTTAACCTCTGAGCCATCTCTCTAGCACCCCTCCCCCCAGCTTGCTTTGGATCATGATGTTTCATCACAGCAATAGTAACTCTAAGACAGCTCATTTTTTTAATCTTTAAAATTTTTGAATATTCTATTATTATTTTAGAGATTATGTTATAATTACAACATTTGTCCCATCCTTCTAAACTCTCCCAGAGACCCCTCTTTCAAATTCATGGCCTTTTTTCCCATTACTTGTTGCTGTATTCATATTTGTATATGTATTCCTTAAAATATGCATATGCCCAGCTCAGTCTGTATCATGTTACTTGTGTATATGTTTTCAGGGTGACCATTTGGTACTGGATAACCAATCGATATGCTCCTCCCTGGGGAAGACTATTTCTCCCACTCTCAGCATTCTTTAGTTTCCTGTAGTTCTTTGTGCAGGGTTGAGGCCTCGGGCCCTTGCCTGCCTTACCATGTCTAATGTCGTCCTTATTCAGCTCATGTTGAGTGGTTTGCTGAGACTTTATGGGTGTCGCTTCTAACATCACTACGAGACACACTCACACTCTCAGTAAACTCCCTCATCATCTGGCTCTTACAACCTCTCTGTCCCTCTTCTGAAACGTTCTCTATATGGCTCATCATTTAAGAGTCTTACTGCTCTTCCAGCGGACCTGAGTTTGATAGGTGGCTCTCAAATACTTGTAACTTGTTTCAGGGGTCCAACACTGTGTGGACCCCACAGGCGCTGCACTCATGTACACACACACACACACACACACACACACACACACACAGAGAGAGAGAGAGAGAGAGAGAGATCAACACATAAATAAAAATAAAAACAAGTCTTTAAAAACGATTATAAAACCAACCCCCAAACTGATACAAACACATTTATCACTTGGACATAAAAGCACATTTGTTACTTAAGCTCTTAATCAGAGAGCTATTTAGAAACACCCAGGAGCATATGCAATGTAGGTAATATAAAAGTTCATCACTCCTAAAAAAAGAATTTTAAACAAGTAATAAATGATGTCCCAGCAGTCATCTTGTGTTGGGATTACAGGAATGAGCCAGCACTCCTGGCTTCATGCCCTACCCTTTTCCACGTATTTTGTAGCATGAGCACTGAGCTATGATCCCTGACACCCACACAAAAAACGGGGTGTGATGGTATGGCTGCTGTGCCGACACCGGGCAGGTAGAGACAGGAGGTGGCTGGGAGCTGACTGGCCAGTTAGTCTGATGAAATGCATACACACACACACACAGAGTATAAACATAACAACTAGCCACTTTTGGTTACAAATAGCTGACCACAAATCCCAGAGACAGTCAGAGTAAGTAACCTTTCTCCCTTCCTCTCTCTTACCTTCCTTTCCTCATCTCACTCTGTAGCCCAGAATGGTCTGAGACTTACTGTGTAGCCCAGGGTGGCCTGGAACTCACAGTGATTGTCCTGCAGCAGCCTCCTGACTGCTAAGATTAGCGGCATCTGGCACTATGCCCGGCCTAGCCCTCTCTTAGGAAAGAATACAGAGTGAGTGCATGCCACGCTGTCCTCACCCTCATGGCCCTCTTTTGCAGCCTGCAGCATGAGAGGCAAGGCTGGAGATGTAGCAGCTGGATTTCGTCTCCACAGAAACGAAGAGTGATGACCTCACTTTGAAGTTGCTACCTATGACAAGGGGTCACTCCAGTGCTCTGTTTTAAAGGCAGTTTCCGAAGGCTTTCACTGGACTGCAGCCTCACAGTGGTTCCCCTCGGAGAGAGCGAAGCTGCCTGGCCTCCTGAAGCCTAGAAGCTGCACCCTTTTAGGGAAGCAGGATTAGGAGGAATTGACAGTTCCGAAAACTTCTAGCTGTAAGCAAAGGAAATGAACGACTCAAGCTCCGCTCGGCATGCAAGAAACAAATGCACAAGTCAAACAACACACACATACATTTTCCCCAAGGCAACCCTCTGGTGGCTATTTGTCTATCGCAGTGCCCTGAGGTTATTTTTGTTCTGTTTGGTTTCCCTTGCTGTTTAAACTCTACGTGTGATTGTACGGTAAACAGAGCCTTGACAACTGGAGAGACCTCTGTGAAACCACGCTAGTGGACTAACTAACTAACATGGCATTTGCATGATGGTAAAATTCCTTACGAAACCTTCACTTGCCACCTGTAGGACTACGTGGAATTTACAGCTGTGCTCTGCGTATCTGAGAGATGACTGGCAAGGCTTAATTTAGCCTTCAGGAGACCCCAAGAAGTTAAAGAGTAACCCTACCCTCTTCTGCAGATACTGGAAATAACATTCCATGCACCAAGTTTCAAGTCATTTATGTCTACATTTTTTTTTTAAGATCAAAATTTGTGTAAATTCACAGAGAGAATTTTTCTCAGTTTGCAGACTCTGCTTTGCCACGCCTGGGCTTCATCTGCCTACTGGGTAATCCAGCCGACGACGGGTGGCCATCCCTCATGAAATAGGCTGTTATGATTCAGGCCCCTGTGAAATCAAGAAATCATAATCCTGGGCTTTCGAGAAACTTCTTTAAAGGATGGATTCATGGGTCTATAATAGCTTAAAGGCTCTGCTTTGGCAAAATAATGGATTCCAAAGCTTTGGGGCAATGGAACAGCTGGGAAGGATTATGAGCTCCTATGCGAAAAATGTTCTTACTCTTGCTGCTGTGTAGCATGTTGTGTGTGTGTGTGTGTGTGTGTGTAGTATGCATATATGCATGCAGACACATGTGCATGGAGGCCAGACGATAGTCTCTGCTGTCCTCCCACAGGTGCTGTCCTCCATGTTTTCCAAGTTGAGGTGTCTTACTAGGCTGCCTTGCCTGGGAGCTCCTGAGGTCTATTTGCCTTATCTCCTTGGGGCGGGGATTCTAAGGACACACAGCGCCAGGCCTTGCTTTTATGTGGGTCCTAGGTGCTGCCGCTCGAGCCCTCACCCTTGAAAGGCTGTCTCCGCAGCCCTCCTATGGCACGGTGTTATTGTTGCTGGGCACCTTCCAGGCTCGCTCCTTCCCAGGACTTTACATTTCAGAACCTGAAGCCTGAAGGCAGAGGAATGACCTGCAATTGGATGGACTTCCTCCCAAGTAGCTAAAGTGCAGGGGATGAAGAAGCAAGCCGCCCAGCCGTGGAAAGGACATTGTTTTTAGTCCCATTCTTCTCACCTAGGTGCAGTGAGTAATCGGCTGGCCGAAACCTGACTTGCCTACAGCAAAGCGTAAGATTGTTGATTACAGGCGTGGGCCAAGTAGATAACAGAAGACTTCCTATTTCATTGGGTCTTGGCTTATAACAGGTTTCGTTATTATGAAATAGCCTTAAAAAAAAAAAAAAAAAACAAAACCTTCACATTATAGCAGTTATTTGTTACACCCACTGGGCAAGTATTTATTTTATGCCCTCTGGTTGCCCCAAGCTGCGCCAGGCACCAGGAACATACCAGCGAGCAGAGACCCAGCTCTGCCGAACTGTGGACTGGACAGTACCAAGCGGAGAGGGCATTTTGTTTATTTGTTTGTTTTGTTTTTTTCAGAGTTTGTCTTAAGTGAAAAGGAAGAAGAATTACAAGGACTTCTATTGCATACCGTATCTCCAGCACCCTACAGCATGTCCACCATGCGACACCATCTTCCAAATAGATTTGCTTTTCTGTTGCAAATACGCCTGTTTCTGGGTGTAAAGAGAGACGACACTGGCTCTTGTCCATACGGGATCCCAAGTGGCTGACTAACCCTGCTTCAAAAACAGCACACCAATTCTGCACTGATCTATTAAAAAATAAAATAAAATAAAAAGGAATTGTTGTGACGTAAAGGACCTAAATTACCTCGTGTTAAAACTGACCTTATTCAGTAACATGTTCTGGTCAAGCGGAGCCCGTCTCTTCCGATTTCTACATGGCCAGTTACACGGTCTGTCTCTGAATGTTCAGCTGTGCAGAACAGCTGCTCTGGCCAGTGAGGACGCCACCCTAACTAAGCCACATCGTGCTCAGAGCCCAGAGGCGCTCTGGGGTTGGTATTTTGCTTTTGCTCTGAGCACGTGAGTAATTAGAAACCTTTTAGGAAACTGAAGAACTGACTAGTCTCCCCAAATTCAGAAGAGTCTTAAGTCTTAGTCATCTTCAGCCCTGTAATCATCTGGTGTATTTTTATTTTCCAGTGTTAAGGATCAAACCTGGGGCCTTAGCCACTCTGGGCAAGCATGCTACCACTGGGCTACAACCCCAGCTCTCCATTTACTGTACTTTTATTGACCACAGTACAAAATACCAGCAGTGCTCTCCATCACAAACATCTTTCAGCTGCAATTTGATTCTATAGGCAAAGCAAACAAACAAAAAACCCCAAAGAGAACTTATTTGAAATAGTTATTTTCTCAGCAATGCTTTCTTGTCTTCCTTTGCGCCTCGGAGGCGACAGTCATTTAAAAACCAGAGTTTGGGGCTCTGGAATACCATACTTCCGTTTGTGCTCATTGACTAGTCCCTCAGCTCCCTCATGGAGGTCGGGGGCAGCTCCTCAGTCTGCTGCGGGGTCGGGTACAGGGTCTGTTGAGCAGGGATGGGGCGGCCAACTGTGGAAAACAGAGCAAGCATCACCCTCCAAACAGCCGCCCCTCCACGGCAGCCTGTGCCTCCCGTGGGCAGCTGAGGGCCGGGGCTGCCAATCGGCATCCCTCCAGCCGGCTGGCTCCAGCGTTCTCCTCAGCTCACTGGCTGCCTAACTCAGTCACACCATCGCACTTGACAACACAGAGAGAGTTCCCCTCCTCAGCAGACACTAAGCTGTCACTCTCCCGGTGGTTTGACTTCTGAGTCAATCGCGCTGCTGTGCCGGCTGCAGCTGTGTGCGGGGTGGGCGTTGCTGTGCCACGTCACCCTCCTCCCCCGGGCAGAGCTGACAGCCAGATCACAGTGTTCTTATTGTGACTGACTGCGACATGCTCGGGTCACGTGGCATCCCTCTATTCTGACTCTTTAAAAAAAAAAAAAAGTCTTTCGAATCAATTGAAAGTGTCACGTTTCTTTACAGTGAAGTCTCTGTTCGAGAGAAAGTCATAAAAATGACAAAACTGAAAGCAACCACAGCTCATTAGGAAAACAGTTACATAAGCTGAGCCACGTTATTCAGTGCAATCCTGGGCAGCTATCTTTTTAAAAGCAAGAACAAATAATGTGGCACACAGGATGTCTAAAATGTCCAAGGAAAGTTGTAAAATGAAGTATGATCTTATCTATAAAAAATTATATTTTTTAGGTGCACCAGTATTTTCAGTGCGCAGGAAAAATCTGGAATGATCAACATTTCCCTCTGGGGACGGAGTCTGGGATGGGAAAAGGTTAATTTTATCTGTATCATATGAATGCTCCACAAAGAAAAAATAATTTATTTCACCTGCATAATTTAAAAAAATGCTGATTAGTTGTAAATAAATCTCTCGGCTTCTGTGCATATTTTAAAAGACGTTTATATAATAAGTCATCTCAGAATTTTAGGGAGTTTGGAAATACAAGTCTTTGCGACCTGTATACACTGCACCCCCTGCTGGCCGGATCCTGCCACTGCGCCCATGGCCGGGATGGGTAACATCAAACCTTGATGCAAACTGTTTCTTCAAGTCATTAGCTTGAGCTTGAGCCCCGTAAACTGGCTATACAGGGGAAATGGAGTACAAAAGCTTTTTTTTCTCCAAGCTACATACAATGGTGAACTTGTGCCAGGAACAGAGGTAGTTATTTAAGAAAGAACTAAGCAACCATGAAGGAATAAAGTGGCAACAAGAGATAAAGCGCATGGATGTGGGAATTGAGGGGCATAGAGAAGCCAGTGACACGCCCACACCCTCAATTGCTGAGTGTTTCATCAGAGGGAGCCTCCAAACGCTCCTGTGCCGTTTTCTTTGATCTTTTTTGTTTGTTTGTTTTTGAGACAGGGTTTCTCTGTGTAAACTTGGTGTCCTGGAACTTGCTTTGTAGACTAGGCTGACATCAAACTCACAGAGAGCCGCCTCCCTCTGCCTCCCGAGTGCTGAGATTACAGGTGTGTGCTACCTCGCCTGGCTTTTTGGAAGCCAAGTTTATGCACAGCAGACTTCAGTTCTTTGACACACAGCAGAGAGAACTGGTGGGAATAAACCAGGGCTGCTGCTGCTGCGTGCCTGTAGTTCAGCACTCAGGAGGCAGAGGCCGGAGGACCATGAGTCCCAGGCCAACCTCGGCTACACAGTGCGCAGCCTGGATCGTTCTGAGCTTTCTCTCTGCATACTTTTTCCTGGGTGGGATGACAGGGTACAGCTTGATCTCAACGCTTCCTCGAGGTTCTAAACTTTGGGGAAGGACAACTGGGAAACCTATACCCGGGATGAGCAGTAAACTTGTAGTCTCACAGAAAGAACTGCGATAGGGGAGGCAGCGCTGAGAGCGAGTGTACTGCACCACGCTTACTGCCGCAGGAGGTGTGACTTCTCAGTTAGAGCATCTTCCTTCCTAGGAATGGCACTGTGGCTACGCTCAGCCCTGCCCCCTTTCCAAGTTTCACTGCATTTCAGTGGGTTCTTCCAGGAGTTCAAATATGCCCTTTTCTGGTGAATTCCTCAGAAGACCCTCTCCTTGCAATATGCCCATTGCCCCCTTGTCTTTCTCTGAGATGATAAAGGTTCCAGTCCCCACCCTGCCCCTCCTCTAGGAAGTTAATATTTAAGCCTAGCACTCTTTCTTTCTTTCTGTTCCTAAGTAGTTCCCAAACTGAGCTAGAAGGTAAGAAAGTCTCAGTTGTTTTTCAGGGATGAGCTAGAGGTAACAGAGCAAAAATTTGACCATTGAGACCATACTTAGACTAAAAAACTCAAGCTCATCTATCAGCTCTGAGGTAAAAACCACACAACTGGGAGCACTGGGGACAAGGCCCTGTGTGGATTCAGTTCAACTCTTGCATCTTGGAATTGGGGTGAGCCCTTACTGGAAACATTAATGCTTACGGGTATCTATCAGATGTGATTAAATCAAACGCTAGAACAACCTAGGGAGGATACCACAACTGCCTCTCATTCACAGGTAAGAAAGGCTAAGATCCAAGCTAGCTGGGCCATAGACAAAACCACCTGGTGTATTCTGTGTTTTCATCACATCATGGCTGACATGCTCCAGTGTTGCAGCTTTCAATTCAGCTTTTGCACAACTATTGGAATTTGGCTGCTCATCTCTGGCCTCTCACAGCAGTCCTGCTCATCTCCATGTGCTGTGCTAAGTTTGTCTGGGATGGAGAATGGGAAAAGCACAGCAATAGGACATTGCCTCCAAGGATCCCTATCATGCTGCAACTCCATGTCCTCAGATGGAGGACAGGGAATTTTGTGAACCAGTACATGAGGATTGGAAACGGACATTAACACTCTTCTCAGGGAAGTAAAGAATCAATCTTTCAAAATAAAAGTACCTTCATTCTGCTTGTCTGTAGGTAGAAAGATTCCATCGGGTTACAGCCCTCCATTTTTCTTTTCTTTTGGACAGTTTTCCTGTGTGGTCACTCATTAAGTACCCCAGGCTGGCCTCAAGCTGTCTGGGCCTCTCAAGCACTGGGGTTACAAACTTGTGTCACTACACCAGGCAAGACTCTCCTAGTCTCATGCAGAAAGCTCCCTTCTTAAGGTGCCCCACCAGAGAAATAACAGGTGGGCGTCCATGGGGCTGGGGAGACACTTGGGATCCGGGAGCACCCTGAGTCCAGATCTAGTCTCTGATGGAAGTCCAAAAGGCCGCCTGTGTGTGCACATGCATGAGTACTCTGGTCCATGGCAGTACAGACACTCACGTATGAGCCTTCAATGAGCAGTGAGCATGTGACACTAGGTGCTGAAGTACACCATGTGGTTTGCCGCTTCGGCACAGGGGTTATCCTGAGCTAAAGGAACCTAAAACACTGCAGCTGGTCCTTTTGCGGTGTGAGGAGGATGTTACAGACTTCCCTTTTCTTCCTGATAGAAGGAACTAAAAGTCCCATGTAAATCATGTTCTTCTTTATACCAGAAAGAAAGAAACCTTCAACAGACAGGGGAAGTAGCCAAGAGAAATCCTTGCAAACTGTGTTACAATAATGCTTTCCTGTCTTTAGTCTCTGCATACATTTTAGCTACTTCCCACAACTGCCTGCCGTTGGCCAACCCAACATAGGAACGTGTCTCCTACATGTCTGCTGTGAGTCCTCCTGACATCACTCTTTCCTTTAATATCTGCTGTCTTATAAATAAAATTTAAATTGAATTCCTTCCTTTTCTTCTATTTCTGAAATCTTTTGGCCTGTGCCTCACTCTCCAGTACATGATGATGATTTAAGGCAAAGTGAACTATTTTTGCCCTTCTGTGGGTTGGACTCAGTTTCATTAAAAGAAAACATGCTTGCTTATCTTTTTTGTTTAGAAAGAATAGCATACTCACTTGCACCCCCTTAGCTGCATTCGGCCCTTCCCCTGGGCTTTGCGTGCACCTGCACACGTGTGCACAGCCGCATACACAGGGATGACTATCTTTTTAATTTTTTTTTTGAGACAAGGTCTCATGTAGCCCAGGCTGGCCCTGAACTCATTATGTAGCCAAGAATGGCTATGGACTGTGGATCCCCTTGCTTCTAACTTCCAAGTGCTGGGCTTACAGGTATTCATCTACCTGTTTTATGCTGGGGATCAAATCTAGCGTTTGTGCTTCCTAGATGAGCATTCCATCTACCAAAGTTACCCAACTAGTTCCTGATTAGGGGTGTTGTCTGCTTGTTCATTTGTCTGTTTGGTTCTGAGGCCAGATCTAATATGTAGCCCTGGCTAGCCTTAAACTTGAAACAGTCTTCCTGCCTCTGCCTCCTACGTGCTGGGACTGAAGACATGTACCGCCATGACAGGCAGAATATTATTCATCTCTAAAATCATCTGAAAGGAGGGCGTGGATGGCACTACCTTAGTCATGTGACTCACCCCACACTATTTTATTTTCTAGAGAATGAGGGAAAGTGTCCTGCACAGCACCACGATCACACCCACAGGGTCAGACCATCGTTCGACATTTTGCACAAGATCCACATTCCAACTGTCAAAGGCTTCATTAGCCATGCCTGCATTTGCTTCTCTAACCCTCAACAGCTGTGTGCCTCCTCTTCTCTGTCCTTTCAGAAACTGAGATTTTTTTTTTTTTTTTTTTTATGAGCCATTTGCCTATTTTCTCACAATTTGATTGGGGTTAACATTTTGGCTGGAATCCCTGCTCAGTACAGTCGACACTCTCGGCAAGCTGGTGAGGAGGGCTTCGGTCCTGCCTGTCTGCTGCACCCTCCCAGGACTTGGGCAGCACAGCTTTGCAGGCATTGTGACACGTGATCCCTGGAGAAGCCCAAGAGAGAATCCTTCAGTTACGGTTACCTTCTTCCTTAGGATTGGAAAATCTAAGACTGAGAGGAAAGAAAACACTTCTAGTCACTCAGGGTCTGATCTTAGACCTCACTGCTTCCCTCAGCCCATTGCCTGATTATGATAGGGTTCTTAATGTCCATATCAACCTGTGCACAGCTGGGGCCATGTTAGCCACAGCCATTCTGACATACATACCAAGAACCAATCCTGCCTCCTCTCTCTTCCTCCTTCTTTCTTTCTTCCTACCTTCTCTCCATCTGTCTTAGCCTTCCTTCTTGCACAGCTGAGAACTGAATATATCTTTCACGTGCTAGGTGATTCCTCTATCACTAAGCTAAACAGTCTAACTATGTCGCTTATGTCCAGGCTGGCCTTGAACTCACTCTGAAGCCCAGGCCAGCTTTAAACTTGTTATCTTCCTGTCTCAGCTACCTAGTAATTGGGATTATGGCTCTGTGTTTGGTCTGCTTCCCACAAGTTGGGCTGTTTGGAAACTTTGACTTCTCCTCTGTTGTCCTAAGATTATGACAGCTGGGCCTTTATGAAATGTTCATATTATTAACTTCATTTAAAAGTTTCAGATGGTATCAGGCTGCTTGATACTACAGACTAAGAACCATTGGGAGTAAGCAGATTGATGAGCCAATGAAATGTCCCCTTTTTTCTGAGTTTCAAAAGAAGCACAATGCACAGTATGAATGAAAATACATCTTGATGTCTAGGCCACATTTAGCAACTTCATTTGACTCTGGTTTTGTCAGGAAAGGCATAATTTAACTACATCAGACACCAAGCCACTCTACTTAAAAAGAAAAAAAAAAAAGTCCATGCAATGAGGTAATAACCACAATCCTTTAACACAACAGAATGCCCTCCATTTTCAGCATTTACAATTTTACGTGAGCATATGCACTACAGCTAATTAAACTTATCCCCCCAAATCATAACTTGTCATTTCCATTATATTTCTCTCCCCAGACCAATAGCATTGCATAATGGAGCAAAAATGACGAGTCATATCAAGCCAAAGAAATGAGCTGACGTCCAGCTGTACTCTGAAAAGTACCCCAGCGCTCCCCCAATAACTAACCAACAGGTGGCTACATTCCACCTGAGTTAAATATGGCAGCTAAAAATAGCATCACATGACTATATCTGAGCTGCAGGGCTCACACAAACTGAAGATGCTGTGTGCACACATGCATTGTGGAATCCCAGCAGGAGTGGTCCAGTGGAAGCAGAAGGATTGGAAGTTCAAGATCACCTGGCTATATAGTGAGTTCCAGGCTAGCCTGGGCTACATGAGACCCTGAAAGAGAAAGGGGAAGAAGGGAGGAGAAGGAGAAGAAGGAAGGAAATCCTAGTGAAACAGATCTAAAAAAAAGTCATTACATTTAAATTTTAGTTATTATGTTATTGCGCTAAAGATACTATTTCCATGTAAACAACATGCAAAGCTGTGGTTTCGGCATTTTCAACTTCTTAGTCTCTTCCAAGCCTCAGAAGGAACTTATTTCACTCCTGCCATTTGTTTTTTGTCTACTTTGAGACAAAAGCCTGGTCTACTTGAGACAGAGCCTTGCGTGTTGCTCAGGCTGGCCTTGACCCAGGGTTCCTCCTGCCTGCAAATCTTAAGCAGGTGAAACTATAGGCACATCACCAGGTTAGGCCTGCCCCTTTCCTTTTTCTCTTCTCCCATCTCTAGCCATCCACCGACTTTTTATAAATGAAATCATTTGATGCTAGAATACATATAAGCATAATTAGTGGCACAAAGCATGCCAGGGGGTGTGTGGCTGTGAAGACAAATATAGAAAGTTTCCAGTGTTCAGCCTCTGAGGTCATTTGTCTATCAGTCCACCACTGTGGTACAGGCAAGTGCAGAGAAACAGGTCCACTAAGGAGCACTAGAAACTTCATGTCTAAACTTGCATTCTAGTTCTGCAGTGGTGTATTGCATGGTAATCAACTGCCTCTCAAAAGTGAAATAGAGATAGTTCATTAAACATGCATACTATGGTTAAAGTTCAGTTAAAGTCTAACTGTGGGTCATAACCCCTTGGGGGCTGAATGACCTTTCACAGGGGTCACATATCAGATGTCCTATACGTCAGATATTTACATTACAATTCCTAACAGTAGAAAAATTACAGTTATGAAGTAGCAACAACAATAATTTTATGGTTGGGGTCACCACAACATGCGGAACTGTATTAAAGGGTCACAGCATTAGGAAGATTGAGACATTAGGAACTCCAAACTCAGGACCACTTCTCTAGAATTATTAGCACCTAGCCAATAACAGTAAACACTGTATGAAGTGGGATCATTTTCTATATTTCATGTACACACTAACAGCGTAGATGGATTTCCAATAGGGCATCAGGCCAAAGCTGTACTGGAACCCCATTCATTTCAGCATTTAGTCTGGTACAGTTCGAAGCCATGAGCCTTCAGGGTTGCTAATTTGTTTAAATAGTTCACTTTCACCAAAAGAAAATACTGCGACCAAACTGGCAGCGCAAACAACAGAGAGGAAGGACACAGATTTTACAAGTAAACGCAACATGCTTGGCTTTTTTGGTTGTATAAATGTGTGCGCAAATATGTCTGCAGGGGCACACCCCTGGGTAAGGCACAGGCTAAAAGGAAGTTTCCCTCCCTCAGAGACGGAGCTATGTGTGTCTGCAGGACGCCAGGCTTGCTATGTGGGTGCTGGGATCCAAACTCCAGTCTTCAAAATTGCACAGTTCAATGGCTGAGCCATTAAGCCCCCCCCCCCAGTCTCTAGGATATGAACTTAAATAATTTAATTTCATCCAGGTTTTTTTAAGAACACCTCCCACTGACGTTGAATCGTCAACGACTGGATTTGGAATCTCCTAGGAGACACACCTCTGGGTGTGTCTGTGACGGTGTTTTTAGAGAGGTTTTGAGTGAAGAGGGGATGAGGACCCCTGAGTATAAGCTGTAAACATCTATGGGCCACAGTCCATAAACAAAGGGGAGAGAAGGCAGAAGTGAGCTGAGTACCATCATTCACCACTCTCTGACTGTAGGCTGTGGGAGGAACACGATCAGTGGCTTCCTTCTTTCCACAGCAAGATGAAATGTATCCCCAGGGATATAGGGAAGCCCCCCCCCCTTTCCTGGCTTCTGCTCATTTTGTTGCATATGTAAAAATTTGTGTCAACTGTTGTTATTGCTCTTGTTTTAAATTGCTGTATGGTAGAAAGCTCATACCCCATTCCCATTGACTTGGCGAATGTTCCTTAAGGACTAGAAAAGTTATGAGCATTCTTTGTGCTCATTTAACATCTCCTCCTTTTAAAGCATTCTCACCCTAAACAAATGGCCACTTAACTAGGCCAGGCAGGGCGGCTCACACCACATCATCCCAGGACTTGGCAGTCTCAGTGGGAGGGTCACCACAAGTCTGAGGGCAGCTTGGACTATACAGTAGTTTCGGTCCAGCCTGTACTACATATCAAGATCCTGTCTCCAGCAAAACTGAAGAAAAAAAAAGGCTACTTACTCATGGGTCAAGGCCACCGTAACAAATCCTTTGCTCTGGTGGATGAATGAACACCGTGGATTTTCCGGGTTGGGCATACAGTGACTCCTTTGCTGCCCCAGCGACAATGACTGAAAATACGCTTGCCTCCATTCGTGCTCAACACATGGTCCAAGCTCTTTTGAGAAACTGAAACCGGCCCGTAATGAGTCAAAGTGTGTAATTAGCTGTTCTTTCTGAAGAATTATTTTTTAAAAGTAACGTTTTATAGCAATGGCGATGATTTCATTATGATTCTTACCATTAAAGAAATGTAATGATTCTGAATGATTCTCTCTCTCCTCTCTTTTTCTCTACAAGGTCACACCTGCTGCACTAGCCTAAGTGTGCATTAAACTCATGGCAATCATCCTACCTCAGCCTTCAGTACACTGGGTTACAGGTCAAACCTGGCTTTGATGGGCCTGCTCTCTTGAGAGAAAAGGCAGGCGCTGATGGATAAGTGTTGGCATAACATTCTTGTGGAATGTATACAATTTACCCTTGTTCCTTCACACGCTGATTTCTCTCCCCCACTATCTAGTTTCAATCTGGACATTGCATTGTGATCTTTACTCTAAGCATCACCTGTCACAAGCTTGTGTAAACATGCCACCATTTGTTCTCTGTATCAATAAAACAACCAGGCAGTGCTGAGCAATGGAGAGAATAGGGTGGGCCATCCTGGTCTGAAGAGAAGGAGAAAGAAGCTAGTGGGAGGGACTAAGGAAGAGAGATAGGGGAGGAGAGGACTTGGAACCACCAGCAGAGATGAACTGGACCTAAGATATGACTAAAAGCAGGTATAATGGGTGAAATCTGAATGGTAGGAAACTATGCGGGCGAAGAGGTTTAGGATGGAATAACTATTGCCCAGCTTTGTGCACGAGGTTAATTAAATTAATCCCAGTCTCTGTGTGGTGATTTGGGTATACATCTGGTTTAAGAATAACCACTGTTTGACTAAAATATAAATCAGTAATAAATATTAATAATCAACAACAGATGAGAGAACCTGATCGTGATGGCTTTGAACTTTCCCTGAGTTCAAGACATGACATTTAATTCTAAGCAACCTTAGTGAGAAATAAGGCATTGGTTCTCTTGCAAAGACAGTTCCCTTGACACACAATCCTTCTAGCTTTCTTCTGGCTAATTTTCAAGCTCACTAGCTTCTATTTCTAGCCCATCCTGTAAGAAGGTATTTCTGAGAGTCCCTTCATTATTTCTATTGTCTTCTAACCTCATCCATACCCATGAACTCAACTACGACTTATGTGTGCTGAATTCTACCAAACCTATTTCCTGGAATATATTCCTCAGCTTCCTTGACCACAGCACCAAACGGCCAAATGGAAATCTCCACTTTGACAGCTCAAAGACACATCAAGCTTGTATCTCCAAATCTAATGTATCAAATTATTCCTCAGAGCAGGTCCTGTTCCAACATCAAGACAAAGGATTTCATCATTCGTCCAGTCATCCAGTTAGAAATATGAGTCTGTTGTGCAAATTCCCCTCTGCTGGCCACCAGTTGACTCGGGACTCATTTCATTCCAAAGCCATTTATTGGATAGTTGGTCACAGTATTGGTAAATAATGATAATACACAGCTGCTGGCTACCGGAAGATGAATCATTCACTAAGTCTTGTTACTCTATCAAACAATGTTCTCTTCTGGATTTCTATCATCAGAGCACTGTGCCAGGGTAGCCCTCATCAGGTCCCCCTGACCACTGCCGGATGCCTGTCCCATAGTTCTAGTGTTCAGACTCCACCCATCTAGCCTGCCTCTGAGCCACTATGTGAATGATCTTTCTACTACTAAACGAATGAACAGATAGCGCTTTTGTTCAGAGCTCCTGACAAGCTCCCTGTGGCTTCCCCACAGAGTACAACCGAAGGTGCTCTTCCCTGTGGCTTTCCCACAGAGTACAACCGAAGGTGCTCTGCATGATGCAAGAGGCTGCTGTAGCTAGATCTGCTGCCTTCTCTAGCATGCCAGGGAGACAGAGAGCAAAGAAGCCTTGAAACCCATACTGTTCTGTCTGTCATTTGGTGGTTTCAAACTCTCCAAAACGATGGGTTGTAGTATGGGTTTAAGAGAATCTGGAGCCACAGAAATTTCCTGTGTGTTGGGTAGGTCACAGGAGGAAGCCTGGAACTGCAGAATTTCCTAGGAAACCAGTATGGGAGATGCTACTGAGGACTCAGAGAGAGTAACAGCCCAGGTTATCACTGGTTACAAATTTAGGTGTTCTTATTTAGCATTTAAGGCATGAAGGCTGCCTCAAAAGGAACCATTTTACAATAGTATAAACCAGTAATGGTCAGTGTGGTGGTGCATACCCAGGCAGATGGGTCTCTGTGATTTTGAGACCAGTCTGGTCTATACAACAAGTAATAAGCCAGCCGTGGTTACAGAGAGACCCAATCTCAAAAGCTCCAACAAACAAACAACTAAGTAAGTAAATAAATAAGCCAATGAAGGCACACGACACACAGATTTAATCTGAGTATCAGCTCTAGTAAACAGGAATGGCTGTGATCACTATGTTAAGAAAGACTCTGGGACTGACTGACATGGCCATGAAGAGGGGAGTAGCTTGCTGTCTCAGCCTCACCTGTTCTCAGCTACTCAAATTTACGAGTGATTCTACTTTCATTCAGCAAAAAAGTAAATTTAAAACCTATTTCTGTAACTTTTTTTGGAAATTAAAATTTTATCTTTATATATATATATTTTTTCCTTTTATAAAACTCTAACCCAGTGTCTACAAGATGAGCAAGGGGATTATTTTCTTTGGTAGTTTGATGTGTAGTGCACCCTCTAGAGGTCAGATAGCAGATAACACGGTATTGCGTGGGGTTAGGGCGCCCTCTACTGTTCCCGACAGCACTTACTGGACTGAGTTCGGCATTTGAGGCCGTGAAAGGCACAAGACTCTGCAAAGCCAGTGTGGATCTTTGCCAGTTTTGGATTGTAGTGATTTTCAAACAGACACATAACAACAGAAGTGACTATTTAGGAAGCCATGACAACCTGGAGGGTAACAGAAAAATCTGTCCTTAACTGTCACAAATCGATACTGAAGTAGGAATTTTTTTTGAAAAAGGCTACTCATTTTTCTTTATACTCAGGAGCTGCAACGGCAAGTATAACCACCCTCCATAACTGACAACTTTGACAAGCACAAAATACTTCGTAAGCTACAGAAACATATGGTCAAAGAGTTGATCAAGGTGGAAAACCAAATAGGGTCTCTTGAGTTGAAATGCAGGTTATTGGCACGAGCATAGGCTTATATGTGTGTATATATGTATATACATATACATGTACATGTATACATATACATATATACACATATATACACATATGCATCTTTAAAGCACTTCAGGCTGATCCTGTTCTCAGAATTAGTAATTAAAGGCTATTCCATAGCTTCACAGGCACGGAAGAGAGCACCTACAACCTCATAATTGGAGAGGGGCTGAGATTACAGGTGTGCATCACTGCACCCAGCTTCAAAAAATACATTTTTAAATGTTTGACTTATATATTATAGCAAAGAGGTATGACAGTGTTCAGAGATGTCTAAGAACTCATACAAATCATTCACGTGAGTGTTAAAGTACCCCCCCCCCACACACACACATACAAACAACTCTGGCAGGTGCCATGCAGGAAGAGCTACAATAGGCAAGTGAGCTTCCTGGAGACAGCTCACTGTTGTTTGTTTGTTTGTTTTGAGATAGGGTTTCTCTGTGTAGCCTTGGCTGTCCAAGAACTCTTAGATCAGGCTGGCCTCAAACTCATACAGCTTCACCTGCCTCAGACTTCCAAGTTCTGGGATTAAAGGTGTGTGCCACCACTTGCCCAGCTACTGCCCACTATTTTGCATGGCTGCGATGGGTGTACGTTGGAGAGGCCCCGGGGCTTTCATCTCCAGATTGCTTCTTGCTGCTGATGTGCCTGCGCATGTCATTGCTGTATTCCTCATATATCTGGCCTGGTGTGATTAGATATGGAGAGACCCTCACTGTCTGTAGTCTGGTGTGATTGCTTCCTGGATGTTGGTGTACTCTGCTGAAAAAATTTCCTTCAGATAGATATGAAGACGTACTTTCATGAAACAATGCTCTTTAGATAAATTGATGGTTTTATAATTCCTGATAATAATTTTATAGAATTGCTGATTTGATTCAAGTAATTTTAAGAAGTTAAAAAGTTAAGATACATTTGGGAAGTTGGTGGTACACACCTATTATCCCAACACTCAGGGAGGTAGAGGCAGGTGGATTTCTGTGAGTTCGAGGCCAGCCTGGTCTACAAAGTGAGTCCAGGATAGCCAAGGCTACACACAGAAACCCTGTCTTGGAAAAAGTAAATGTGCCTCCTCATAAAATAGTAAAGACTGCAAAAGGAGTTCAGTGAGCTTTCGTGCATTACAAGCATATAATTTGCACTAGGAAGAAAAATAGGACAAGTTAATGGTCAGGGAAAGCATTCATTCTAGGTTAGATCCAAGGATGAAGTTAGAAGTCTTGGTGTGCACCATGATAAAAAGCTGTGAACGAGGAGTGGGTAGTTCTATTGTGAGTATAAGAACAAAGAATGGATGATTAGCTAGTGTAACTAGACTTCATACAAGACACAACTAGACTTAATACAAGATTTCAAAAATAAGGCATAAGATAGATGACCTGTTTCTTGGTAAAATCCTTGTTAACCTATGACAAAAAAGTATTGCTCTGAACTTATAATGAACTTGTGGAATAAAGATAAAGACTGTTTAGTTAGGTGTGAGTTTTAATAGAAAAACATGTAATCAATAATCTTGTGGTAACTCCCTCTTGTGTATCGACTTTATCTGTTTTTGAAAAAAAAATATGGTTTTGTGATTACTTTTAGACAATATGTAACCTATGGCCATGAGGTAATTTTAATTCTTACGTAGAGAAAGAACTTTGTTTTAGGAGGTATAAAAGTGCCAAGAGAAAAAAATAAAGTGTTGGTTTTGGAGCCTGCCTTCGCTCCATTCTCTGTGTGTGTGTGTGATTTTTTTTCTCCTTTTCTTTCTCTACTGTCTGGCCGTCACCAGTGGCCCACCAACGGTTATCAGTGGCAATCTCACTGGGAACTATCAGCA